CCCCCARTAGCTTCAATGACATATGTCACCTTTTTGTAGTCCAACAACTTTTTTTTCCTAATATGGATGTGTTATAAGCTTGGACTGGAAAGCAATATTAATGATATATAATGTAAGTCAATACAGTGGCTGCACTACATATTATAATTAGTGTATCTATTAAATAGTACAAATGCTCAAAATTCTAGATGTTATATTATATATTAGCACATAAGACTGCATCCCTGGTATGAATAATGAATGAATGGTTAGTTCAAAATAATTATTGTTTACAACCAATGGATATTGCAGCACAATGCATGAAAGTTTTGCCACTGCAGMCCCACTTTAACGCATTGGCTGTAACAAACTCTGAACACAGATTCAAACTCTATTTGTTCACAATTAATATAATATCAATATAATTAATTATAATTGTTCTCCTCTAGCTTGCATGATGGATATGCCTGGGTAATAGCCGAGTTAGCAAAAACCTCTCACTATTACTTTTGATTGACTGGTTTATTTCAATCTATACACGRCTTTCAAAAATGGCACCAGTTCACGTCCGCCTATATTGGGGACTAGTGACAAATCATGGAAACGAAACCTCAAAGCCCTTCCATCAAGAAATCACTACGAGATCGTATGTAGGCAGTGTCCAAAAGTTTGAAAATGTATTGGTATGTTATTTACATGTATAACAAAACACTCTTGCAAGACACCATGGAAGCTCACTATACGGAGGCTGGCCTTTGAGACCTCGTTTTAGTGCTTCTTCCCCAGTGCCCTGGTCGACGACCGAGACACATCCCGGCATTTTTGAAAGTCGTGAATAGCCCTCACATTTCCCTGCACCATCTTGAAATGTAACTGTGCCATTGCATCGAAACAAGACAATCAGTGAGCGTACAATGATAGACACCTTTGAGTAATTGTAAGTTTTCTATCACTGCACACTCACCTTTTCAYCTAACATGATGGCAAAGGGCTGTGAAGGAGAGTTTTCTTGGTACTAAAGMTGGTCAGTATTCAGACAGGGATGAGCTTTAATTTTCAATGAGCAATAAAAATAAAGATAAAATTATTTATCCTCATAAAAAAATGAATGTTATGATACTATATATTGTGTAAYACAATTCTACAGCTTTATCCATTATTCAAAATACCTTTTTAACATTATATTGAAAAGGTTTAAGAGTTATTATTATTAATTCTATTCATCTGATCACACATTAAATTATCCCAAGGACATTGAACGGCCTCTCTAAAGAGAACTGTTATTTCCTGTTTTAAAAATGTCTGGGATATGGAAATTAACGAAGCTAGCTGTGCGAGTGATATACAAACTGGATAAACTTGTGACTGGTGATAAGTGTTTATAAGTGATGCTTAGGCATATTCTGACTGCTTGCTGATCTTGCAGATGAGCACCATTGAGAAGATCATTGCCAGGACCTGAAAATACATTAAAACATAGAATATTTGTAGTTTTAATAGTGCAAAAGGAATACAAATATTAAAACYGTTCAGCCTCAGTGGTCTTCCTTTGTATTTAAATCATTATAATTTCCTAATAATTTGGGGACTAAATTATAATATAGTTCTATTGAACATAGATACCAACAGCCATTAGACCAATACCACACACCTGTCATTGGAATATATTTTTATAGTCGATTAACAGGGACACCATTTTGGGAAACAAAGCATGATTGACAGTTTAATAGTCCTTGCACTTTTCACAGCCCTAGAAAATCTTGACTCCTAAAAGAMGTTTTYTTATTACTTTGTAGAGATGGTATCACCATCCCTATGTAGCAATCCTATGAGGACTGGTGTTAAAAGTTATTCTAAGACTTAAATAAAGCAGAAATCATACCACTGAACCTCCCTTCGTATGCCTGGATCATGGATCTCCCTCGGCTCCTATTTCTAACACAAATGATTGTTCATTGAATTACCTGAATAAAGGCTACGGCCAAACCAACTCCAAAAATCACCATCAAATTGTCCTTCAACAAACTCTTCACTTTAACATAGCAGCCCTAGARGCAACAAATATGAGAGTTATAGCCTAACTAATCCAGAGTTTGTAAACTTGATATGTACTGTACGTCATTGCCAGAGGGTAGCCAAAATAACAAGAAAATAGGTATGAAATTTTACTGCCTAAGTGTTTTATTACTACAGTTTATTACAACAAAAAAATCCTTTAAACTCTAATTCAAAATCAAATGCAAACAAAAACTATAATTATTAACAAACTTGTATATTTAATAGAAAAACTAACTGACAGTATAAAAGGACTGACAATAAGTTTTATTTGTGTCATTATGCAGAGCCTTTGATTATTATTATGTATAAAACTAAGTTAACATAGACACAAAATTGATCAGCACAAAGGAATTAGTAACTACAAATAGTTTAAAAACAAAACAAAGAATAGCTGCATAAGGTTCTCATAACTATTTTTGTCATACTTCTCCATAGATGTCTTTATCTTGAAAGTTCTTTCCACATCCTGCTTTCTTTTTCTGGCAGCAGCTATCAGGCACAACAGAATGACTCCCATTACTGAATGGAGTTCTTTGCCAATCTCTGTAGTTATTGATACCACAACATTTCTCCTRCAAAATAAAGTAAAACAAAGATCTAGTTAATAATTACTATACTGTAAAAGGGAAGAAATAATTTTCATGAGCAGTACTAGTAAACTAGACATAGAGTGCACGTCACATAAGCATGAAACAATTCTTAATATGTATTAATATGACAATTCTTAATATGCTAAATAAGATTTAGTTATCAACTAACTAAGAATTCAACAAAGCATAAACACAATGCCAATTATATAAATTCCTTTGTATCATTGTTCTCAATTCTTAGTTAGTTGATAACTAAATCTTATTTAGCACTACATAGTTAAGAATTGTTTCATGCTTATGTGACTTGCACTCTACATAAAATAAGAACAATAATAATATAATAATGATAAATAGYACATATTTATATAGCGCAAAATAACGTTCAAGTTCTGAGACTATTACTACAATATTATGTCAATATTTCCCAAGATATTTTTCATTAAAGCTGAGTCTGCRTCACAGACAACTGGATAYATYGTTGCTCCCTTGTTTACTCATTTATCAATCCAAAAATTCATTGTGTCACAAGGCTTTCCATGGGTTGTAATAAGGACTTTATGAAATCAAGATAGATATGTATACTCTCTAGGTCAGTCCACAGTTTGTTTTTGCATCTAAATTTAATAAATTAATACACTCTAATAATTCACTATTATCATTTTCTATTGTACCTGTTGCTGAAGAGTGTCATAGGCCTTAGTAATGTCATCATGGTCTTTCCTCCCATAGTCAATCAAAGATTTATTCAGATCTTTATTTAGATTTGTCTCAATCTATAAATCAAATTGAAACATTAATTACCTATTGATGCATGAAACAACAATTCCCTTTTT